TACCAACTGTGAGTAGTTCGATTTTCACTGGCTCAAGGTTGATTCAGCCTTCCATCCTTTCTAGGTTAGTAAAACAAGGACCCAGATTGTTAGCAGCAATATGCTGATTCTGTAAATAGCTTAGAGAGGGCTGTAAAGCATTGTGAAATGGTATATAAATGCTATTGCTACTTATCCTTATTACCATGTAAGTAGGGTTTTCTAGACAAGAATGTCTGTAAAGCTGTGGTGGTGCAGTGGTTAGAATGCAGTACTGCAGGCTACTTCTGCTGATCACTGGTTGCCAGCAGTTTGGCAGTTCAGGTCTCCACAGGCTCAGGGTTGACTCAGCCTTCTATCCTTCCAAGGTTGGTAAAATGAGGACCCAGATTGTTGGAGGCAATATGCTGACTCTGTAAACTGCTTAGAGAGGGCTGTGAAACACTATGAAGTATACAAGCCTAAATGCTAGTGCTAAGTGCTATTGCTAAAGGTCACTTGGAACTGCAAGCTGTATCGGCGTACTTATTGGTAGGTGATGACCAGGTAACACCAGTATGAGCCCTACATTGGTTTCCATTTAACCAATAAAGTTCTTGGCTTGGCCAATATGACTTGGTTGCAAAGTATCTCCAACACTATCTCTTTCAACTGAAATTGATAATGTTTATCATGGGACTACAAGTTGTGCCAGTTGTCATAGGAGAAGAGACTAGACTTTACACACTTTTGGGGGGGATGTTGCTGAGTTTTTTAGTGATAGCATCTCTTTTATAAAACAACCTTCTTCCAGAATTTAAACTAGTATGAAGGCATTCCAAAAATTAGTTAAGGTAAAGTTATTTGGACGAATGAACCATATCTAATTTTTAAAGTAACCAGTTATTGAGTTTTGGGCTTGTTATATTGATAGATAGATAGATAGATAGATAGATGATAGATAGTTGATAGATAGATAGATAATCTATCTTAGATAGATTTTTTAAAACTATTTTTGAACCCTTTTTTTGAACTATTAGATGATATAGGATAATAAAAACAAGGACAAATAGGCTGAAAAACAGCTTCTGACCCAGGGCAGTAACTATTGAATTCTACTGTATAGTGCAATATTAATGCAGTATCAGGAGTTTTCAGTTCAATGTATAGAATGTGAAAGATGTGTGTTTGTGTTTATTTTCATAGTCATAATGTACTTTGAAGATGGTATTTAATTTCATTGTACGAGGTGCAAGACAATAAAGTAAAGTAAACTAAATACTGAGAGGGCTTGGTGATTATGGGCATATACAAAAGTAAGAGCAGTAAGAAAATAAATAAATGAATATATATTTTTCATGATTCTTTTATTATCTTTATTGTTTTATTTTTCCTTCCTTCCTTCTTTCCTTCCTTCTACAGTGCCCTAAACATTGCATCATTTATGTCTATAAATCCATCTTCTTAGATATGGCTCTGTATGATTTTAGTAGAAACCAAACCTCCTTTCTTATCGATTCTCCTGCAACAGTGTTGAATTGGGCGGCTATAGAAATTTAATAAATAAATAAAATAAATAATATGGTTGTTTGTTTTCATTGAAGCTCTGGAAAACAAGCACCTCCATGCGTCTAAACTGAATTACAGTTCCTGACAAACTTGTGGATAGATTCTTCTTTTAAACCCAGCAGAAAACATATTTCTTTAAGCTACCAAAATGCCTTTAATATATGCTATCAAGCCATGACTACACATTGCTTATTAGATTAGGATTCATAATGCAAACACCTTTCAGCAGAACTAGAAGGTCAAGGAATTATTCAACTATCAAAATATAGAATATACAATTACTAGCATGGTATGATCTAACATTTTGCTGATTTAGAATTTATTACAATTCAGTTCAATGCTCCATAGGGAATTTAATCTTCACTTACTATGCAAGGTTCATACAGAATTCAGGCTTTCCACATTAATCTTACTGCATGAGTTTAACATTTAATACTACTAGTAACTAAAAACTCTTCTTGAACACAGTCTCTTCCTTCAATTGTCATGGTACTGATTGTATATACATTCAATACTGATTGAACAAAATTGCATAAAATTTGCATTATACTCAACACAAATGATTTAAGTGACAAAGTATAGGTTTTCCCTTTAATTTGTGTTTTGGAAGCAAAATCTGACTGTCTTGAGCTACTTCCTAAATTTTATCATTCAAAGGAAAACAAAAATGAGACATTTTTGTCTTTAAACTTACTTGATTTACTTATCTTTAAATTTATTTGATTTTTTTTCAATTTTTTGTCAGACTGTTCTTATCCAGTATAAGTACTGTAGATTTGTTAAGAGAGGAATGCCTTGGAAGCATATAACAGAAGAGTTGCAACAAGAAAAGGCCACTTCTTCTATACTGTATAAGTAATTCTTCGATGGTGTGTAGTGTATGATGTTATATAGTGTATAGTGTAATAGATCAGAAATATTGAATAGTGGGAAACTATTTCTCCAAAAAGGAGGCATGTACTTAAGGCATAGCCATGTGGCTATAGTGCCTCCAAAAGCAAAACCACATTTCACAGCTCAAATGATAAAGGTTAAGGGGAGATTAATCAAGATAAAAAGAAGCCTGATTGTAACCATTAGAAAAATTTTCACATATTGGTGTGCTTCTCTTTTAATAGTTGCTTTACAATTAGTAAATGAACCCTCTGACATATTTCCACATAAAGGGCATGATTTCTTGTCTGAAGAAAGTTGGCTTCAGCAGTAAGATGCTTTTCCAGAAATCAGAACTTTTAATTTTAATGTATGAGTCTAGGGGTCCCCAAACCCCTGAGCTGTGGCCCACTAGTGGGTTGTGCACCAATTATGCCCTAGTCGCTTTCCATCTTGATTATTGCAACATGCTCTACATGGGGCTACCCTTGAAGAACATCCAGAAGCTCCAGTTAGTGCAAAATGCAGCGGCCCATATAGTTTTGTGCAGACCCCGGTGTGCATATGTTTCACCTCTCCTCCGGGAGTTGCATTGGTTGCCAGTTTGCTTCCAGGTGCAATTCAAGGTGCTGGTTGTCACCTTTAAAGCCCTTCATGGCTTGGGACCAGATTATCTGAGGGACCATATCTTGCCGGTCACATCTACCCAACCCATCAGAGCAGGGAGGCAGGGAATGCTGTGGGCCCATCCCTGGTGGGACCCAGAAGAAGGGCTTTCTCTCTGGTGGCTCCCTTTCTCTGGAACATCATTGCCCCAGAGATTAGAATGGCCCCCTCGCTAATACTCTTCCAGAAGGTACTGAAGATCTGGTTCTGCCAGTGGGCCTGGGGAACCCAGAGCAGGATAGAGCCCATCAAATGGCTCATGTGATCTGCTGTCATCGGGGTAGGGGTGGGAGTTGGGGGGTGATTTTTTATTTTTTTTCCTCAGATTTTGTTCTATTGTACTTTATTAATTTATTTGATTTTTTTGTTAGTTTTTTTAAAATTTGGTTTTACATTCTGTAAGCTGCCTCGAGTCGCCATAGATGGCAATATAAATTTAATAAATTCATAAATAAATAATCTGTTTGCCACCAGGCCATGGAAGAGTCAGGCAATCAAGTCCGTGTGCACATTCCCACTTGGATAGTAGTTATGCCAGTTTCTTTTTATATTCTTGAGATATTTCTTACATTTTAATATTTTACCAAAGAAAGTCTACACTTACATAATTGGATATAGAAATTAAAAATACTGCTGATGGATTTAGTCTCAATTTATAATTAACCTTAGCCAGAATTTCTGATGTAATGTTTTCTTGTTTCAGCTGGTGAGCCAATAACTTTCTACCTTTCTCTCCCAATTGCCAGTAATTTTGACTGATACATTTTGACTGATATATTTCAAATATTCAGCTTTTTCTGAATAATTCTGAATTCCTGAATATAGTTTTCATTGCTAAAAATATTGACAGTCCTCGACTTGCAACCTTCTGACGAGCCAAGTCAATGGGAAAGTCAGATTCATTTAACAATCTTGTTACTAACTTAACTGCAGTGATTCACTTAACAACTGTGACATGAAAATGTTATAAAATGGGACAAAACTCACCTAATACATGTGTCACTTAGCAAATTTTGGGTTCAGTCATGGTCATAAGTTGAGGACTATGTGTTCAATAAATCTGTGAGGTTTCTAAATTTAGTTAACATTATAGTGCTATTCACCCTTTGCTGTTTGTATTCTGTCACCTTTCTACTCTTGTTAGTTTTTTTGGCTTGCTTGTTTCACCGGTAATTCTGATCATACAATATTTCCACTCTTCCCATTGCAGGTTTACCTTAAATATGCTTTTAGCATGATTAGTGAACTATGTAAACATGCTATTCTGCCACAGCCTTATTGAGAGATCATATTTCCCCTGAAAGTAAAAGTGAATAATCTATTATATGTCATTACCTCATCCAATCTTCCTTACTCAATCGTTTGTATCCTGACATGAGAAAGGATTGATTGAAAAGAATATTTTTGAAGGTGCTCTGAAAGGTTATAAAAATGCTTCCTGTGAAGTTTGATCTTCAGAAACCCTTTCCTGAACAAAAATTGTCTTTATAGGAGTTATTACATAATACATACGGATATGCAAATTCTGGTTGACAAGAATTTAAATATACAAGGTTTGGTGATAGATTATAAGTTAGATAAATATTGACTTAGCCCAGCTAAGGTGAGATGAGTTGTTCTGAGAGAGAGTGACTGCCCCAAAGACACCCAGCCAGTGGATTTCTGTAAACAAATCCTTGATAGAAGCAACTCAAAGCCAAGCATATTGAAGTTTGAAAATTCATACTAAATATTTCATTGATGTCTTAGATGATTATTTCTGGAATGAAAACCATTGGCTGAAAGCAAACAGGTGGCTTTGAAATGAAATTTGGAAGATGAATAATACCTAGTGAATGGGTGCTGAGCTGATGCACTCTGTATTTATATTGTGCCAAAGAGATATTTGCATTGTGCCACTAATGTATTGTAATTTTTATATATTCTTTCTTCAGGCATTGCACAGATGTCTTGTGTTGTGGGATCTTCGTTGTTGTCATCCTGGGTTACATTGCATTAGGAATTGTGGGTAAGTAATATTCATGGATAGAGTTCATTAGAAAATAGCTATTTACATGCTATTTGAATGAATGCTGTTTTTCATTAAATAGACATGCCAGTTAAAGAGAGCTATTTTCATTGGAAATACTTATTGGAAATAAATTATGGAATGTCTATTTACATTAGTTAACAATGGTAATTGTAAGAAGAGACATCAAAATAATGGGTATATTGATTTTTGTTTAAAACGGGTCAGAATGAAACAACACAGGTAAAATTGCTATGGTTTGATTGTAGTTTATAAAACGGCAATTGTAAAGGAAAAATGTTAGAATTATTGCATCATTAGGAAAAAGAAATGAGAAAGGAATATGTATATAAAAAAAGGTTCATTAAGCTTCTCAGCGATTTAGTGACTTTGAGTTGAGTTTACCTCAGAAAATCACTCTGCTATTATTTGTAGTTACCACCAACTTACAGTCATGGTGAGAGAAATTATCTAAGGTCACTAATAAGAGTTAATGGTATTAACAAGGATGTGATCAAGTAACACAATTTTATTTCTTAAAAGAATTTACAGATAGTCCTCAACTTACAACAGGGGTCTTCAAACTTGACAGCTTTAAGACTTGTGGACTTCAACTCCCAGAATTCTTCCTCCAGTCATGAACTCTCAGGAATTCTGGGAACTGAAGTCCACAAGTCTTAAACTTGCCAAGCTTGAAGACCCTTGACTTACAACAATTCATTTAGTGACTGTTCGAATGGCTCTGAAAAAGTAACTTATGACCATTTTTTACATTTAATGACTGTTGCAGCATACTCATGGTCAGGTGATCAAAAGTCAGATGTTTAACAGCTGACTCATGTTTATGACATTTGCAGTGTCCCAAGGTCATGTGATCACCTTTTGCGACTTTCTGACAAGCAAATCAATGGAGAAGCCAGATTCACTGAACAACCTTATCACTAACTTAACAACTTACTTACAATCTTTCTTGCCAAAGTCGTTAAATGAATCACTGTAAAGATTGTAAAATGGGGCAAAATTCACTTAAACAAATGTCTTACTTAGCAACAGAAATTTTGGGCTCAATTGTGTTCATAAGTTGAGGACTACCTATATACAAAAGTGTTGTCCTTCAGCATTTACTTTTTTAAAAAGAATATTTTTTTATTAAATTTTCACATTTAAAAACAAATTCTATATACATTTTTTGAAGTTATTTGTGACATTAGTTATACCATTCTCCTGTACATACATATACATACACTATTTACAATTACACTTTAAAGCTTCTACTTTTGCATTATATTTTCTTTCTATTGTCTAACCAGACATACCATTTTTCCCAGCATTTTCATTTGGGAAAATTCACTAGGAATTCATGTCTGTCCTGCATTGATTTCCCATAGTAACTAGTATAAACAATTAATGACATGACATCATCACACATGTTTTTCACATGTGTACAACATGCACATTGTATATAAGGTTCATATCAATGTATGCCAACAATATTAGAGGAATGTTGGCTAGCAGCTACTCCATATCATTTGGTCCTGTTTGAGAACAAACAGTGGCCATGGATATTATCTATTTATTGGGGTTGATCCTTTGAAATGGGTTTAATTAGATATAATGGGTCTATGATCAACATTTATTCCACAAAATATTGTACTGTTTCTTCAGAAGACATTTGTCTTGTTTTAATCATATGAATGTTTTCAGTATTTGAATAGATTTATAGTAATTTTTAGTAGGTAACAAAAGAAAAGCCAGAAGGTAACGAAAAAGAAGTGGTTCAATATACAGGCAATAGCAATAAGAAAATTGAATATGTATTCCTTATCTGCTAAAATAAATTATATCATCACAGTATTCCCTAGTAACATTGTAGATCCATATATTTGTAGTAATTATAAAAGTAAAATGGATGAATATTTAATACAATTATATTGATGCTATTTTTTAATATAAATTTTATTTGGGTTTTCACAAAAACATAATACAAATAAAACGTATTTTTTTGAGAATAGCATGATCCCGGGTTATCACTTCTTCATACAGACACAAACTCAATTTCATATTCATCTTTGTGTTCTATTCCATATCTTATTATTGTTTTAATATTTTCTCCATAATTTTTCCCCTCCCTTGGTTTTCTCCACTTTATTTTTAATTATCTATCTAAATTCAATTATGTATCTTTTTCTAAGTTTCAATGTCTTTCCAATCATTATATTTATACTTTTGTCTGTCCTGTTACAATTTCATATTATCTTTTCTGTCTTTTATAACTTCTTTTCCTTTCCTTCTTCCCCCTCTTCTTCTCCCTCCCCTTTTTACCCCCTTGTCTCTCTACTTCTAACTCTCTCTTCTGTGATCTTCTCTTCTGTTGCTTCCTAATGTTGTAATTATTTTTCAAACTAGTCTTTTTTTGGTTGTTTTTTCAAATCTTAAACTTTTCACTCTTTTCCCCCCTTTCCTTTTTTCCCCCCACATAAAATTACTTGATCATTAAAGATGGCTTCTTCTTTGTCCCAAACTTCTTGTTCCACAAGCATTTCTTGTTTATTTATTTTATTTTATTTTATTTATTTGTCAATTGTTTACAAGATAATAAGTATAAGTGTATACATAGTTATGAATACATGAAATGGGTACATATAAGAAAAATAAAAGAAAAATAAAAGAAACAATAGGACAGGGACGGTAGGCACGTTGGTGCGCTTATGCACGCCCCCTACAGACCTCTTAGGAAAGGGGTGAGGTCAATAGTAGACAGTCTAAGGTTAAAGTTTTTGGGGTTTGGCGAAGAAACTATAGAGTCGGGTAGAGTATTCCAGACCTTGACCACTCTGTTGCTGAAGTCATATTTCCTGCAATCAAGCTTGGTGCGGTTAACCTTGAGTTTGTATCTGTTGTGTGCTCTTGTGTTGTTATGGTTGAAGCTGAAGTATTCATTGACAGGTAGGACATTGCAATGTATGATTTTATATACCATGCTTAAATCAGACCGAAGACGGCGTTTCTCATAGTTGTTGTTTCTCATAGTTCCAGATCTCCATTTCTAAAAATTGAAATACGAAGCCAAAAGAACCTCCTCCTTCTTGTGCATCTTCTTTCTGTTTTTTAAATTCCATTTTCAGTTCTTCTAAAAGTGATGCTATTTTAAACACTTTTAAACAACCACCCAATTGATTTTAGTCATTTAAATCCAATAGCCAAAAATCCAAAAATCACCAAGTAATCCAAATAATCTAAAGCTGTTTCTTCTTGCTTCTTTTTTCCACTTTCTCTTCCTGAGGTTTTATTATTTTGTTACAAAGTTTCAGTTAAAATGTATCTTTTAGGAATCTTGTTAAAATTTCACTGTCAGTTCCTTTTAGTTCCAGGCAGTCTCCTCCATTTTTCCAGATCCCGCCCTTTTATTCTTTTTCTCTCCTTTCCTGCTTTTAAAGATTTTTGAGTATCCAAAAGTCTTTGTTATCACTTTGACATTTTATTTTCATTTTAAATGCCTATTGATGTCAAAGTGGATTTTTGTCAATTTCTTACTTAAATCTCTTAGCTGTCAGTATAAGGAAGGGAAGAAAAAAAAGGCCAAATCCTTTCCCTTCCTTCTCCCCTTCACTGCTTCAAAGTCTTTTTTAGGAACAATGTTATTTTTTATAGTTCAAATTCCAGGGTACCTTACATTGTTGCTTTTTCGGTTTAACCTGTTCAACCAAAACTTTCTCTTCTTATGTTCCTCCTGCACATTCTTTTCTGGTCGAATTCTTCTTTGAGGTGGCCATTTCTGATCACCGCTGCAACCACTTTCGGGAAAGGGAGTAATGGCCAGCTGAGGAGGAGAGATGTGGCTCTCCTTGACTTTGCTGGCGGTCTCCCCCCTCTTCACTACCTCTTAGCCCCAAATCCAGCCGGCATGGGGCGCTCCAGCGGTGAGAATGGATCAAAACCACGCACGATCATGGATTTCGGTCTGTTGCCGAAGAAGCTCAAACTGGAAGTCTCATATTGATGCTATTTATTAATATCAATAGTGCTGTTTGCTCTTCAGGCATCTTCCTTAAACAACTTGCACAATTCCAGAAGCTCCAAATAACCAAAAAAGAAACCCACAAGAACTTTAAAGAGTATTGGGCAGCATGCAATAAAGAACTGGAATGTCCAGCATGCATGGAAGACAATTTTGGCATTTCTGGGTTACATTTGCTTGGATCTGTATTACAATTAATTAAACAAAAATATTATTTGTATCTATTTTAAGGAAAAATTCATGTTCAGCTAATTGTTGTGATGATTAGAATTCAATACTGATTTACATTATTGCATTAAGCAACTATCTTATGATCCAATCCCAAAACATGGCTATCTCTATCTTCTTTTGTGGTTCCTTTCAAATAGTAAAGACATGTTCAGGCTAGGAAATGAATTCACTAGGAGATGAGAAATACAATTGCTTTCTTCACTTATACTTTCAATGCTCATAAGTCCTTTATTATAAAGGGTAGTCTTTTATTTCAAAAAGCTCTCCTGAAGATTTATTTGATTTAATGATTTAGATTTGTTCAATGATTTAGTTTGTTGGATCTGCTTTTGATTTTTTTTTGGTAAAACATATTTTATTTTTAATCCTTATGAGCCTCTTTCACACACACACACTTTTTCAGAATTGTCCTTTATTTTTTTCAAGCAAATATAGTCACTGTACTTTATTTATTTATTTTTCATTATTTATAAATCCTCATGTTTGAGATTTCATTGTTTCCTTTCATTTGTTGATCATCCTACTCTTTTTATAGACATGTCTACTAACATCTTTTAAAGCCGTTCTAGTTCCTCAAATTTCAGGCTATGATGTAGCTAACAACTGGAAACAGGCCTCTGTTTTGACAAAAAAGTAAAGATCTCATTAAGCCTCAAGTCCTGAAGTACAGTACTCTATTATTGCTTATAAAAATATTTCGCTCACAATCGCAGCAGAAATTTAGAAAGAAGAAACTTAAGATTTCAAAGGC